GTTTAGGATCTAGGGTTTAGGGTTTAGCTACACCCTAAACCCTAAACCCTAAACCCTAAGTACACCGCTAATATGCCTTGCCGAGCAAAGGCCCTTCAACAGGAACCCTAAACCCTAAACCCTAAACACTAAACCCTAAACCCTAAACCCTAAACCCTAAACCCTAAACTGTTGTCTCGGGGTATGAGTTTGCATTTGTTGTTTTTAGGAAGGCCGATTATAAGTATAAGTAAACTCAAACCCCAGGCTCTAAACCCTAAACCCTAAACCCTAAACCCTAAACCCTTAACAAGCGCAAAGAAGCATCCGCAGAGGCCCAGGCTTCTCTCTTTCCCTCATCCTGAATCAATTATTGTGGTTTAGGGTTTAGGGTTTAGGGTTTAGGGTTTAGGGTTTAGGGTTTAGGGTTTAGGTTTTAGGGTTTAGGGTTTAGGGTTTAAGGAAGACAGCCACAAACCCTAAACCCTAAACCCTAAACCCTCGTTCGCAAGCCACAAGCAAGTAGTATGCTCAAACAAATAAACACATAACGAGACAGTGGTTGTTGATGGTTTATTTTTTATTTTTTATTTTTTATTTTTTTTTAATTTTTTATCTAGGGTTTAGGGTTTAGGGTTTAGGGTTTAGGAGCAAAGACAGCCCCCAAGCAAAACACCACCACCAACCCCACCACCGTTGCTGCTGCTGGCTCTTCTCCTCGTTCTCTCTAAACCCTAAACCTCTCTCTCCTAAACCCTAATTTATAAACCCTAAACCCTAAACCCTAAACCCTCAACAGCTGAATCAAGGGTTTGTGTTGCTGTGTCGTTTGCTGCTGCTCAGAAGGGCCTCGATAGTGCTGAGGGGCCCCCGCGCTTCCCCCCCATAGCTGCTGCTGCTGCTGCTGCTGCAGCAGCAGCAGCAGCAGCACAGCAGCAGCAGCAGCAGAAGCAACAACACAACCACTTGCTGCTGCATGGGTAACAACTCCAGCTGCAGCCTTCAAACCCCTGCAGCAACTGCAGCAGCAGCAGCAGCAGCAACAGCAGCAGCAGCAGCAGCAGCAGCAGCAGATGCTGGGGGGAGGTATGCTGGGGGGCCCCCCCCGTAGGAATGGGGGGGGCCCCCTGACGGTGGCGGATTTGTTAGAGGGGGTACAGCGAGCGACAGCAGCAACAGCAGCAGCAACAGCAGCAGCAGCAGCAGCAGAAGCAGCAGCAGGAACGTCCCCCGGAGCCTCTCCCTCCTCTGCTGCTTCAGCAGCAACAGCAGCAGCAACAGCAGCAGCAGCAACAGGAGCAGCAGCAGCAGCAGGAGATATAGATTCTTTTGGTTGCTCTTTAGCTATTCCTCCTCTGTCTCCTTGTGGCACAACAGCTTTGCTGCAGCAGCAGCAGCAGCTGCAGCTGCAGCAGCAGCTGCAGCAGCAGCAGCAGCAGCAACTGCAGCAGCAGCAGCAGCAGCAGCAGCAGCAGCAACCTATTCGCCGACTGATGATAGAAAAAGTTGTACTCGAAAATTTTAAAAGTTATAATAAAAAAAGAGTCATCGGGCCCTTTCATAAAGTATAGTTGCTGCTGCTGCTGCTGCTGCTGCTGCTGCTGCTGCTGCTGCTGCTGCTGCTGCTGCTGCTGCTG